AAATATAGACTTATCTCTCTTAAAGAGAGGCTCTATTTTAATTAGCTTCTGTTTTAGCTTATATAGTAGTATTAATTATATACTTAGATAAAGAGAGTGTAAGAAATTATCTAGTATAGTAGGTGCTAATCTAGAGAATATAATATACTACTATATTAAGTTATAAATTAGTTATGCCTAGTTATTAATAGTTTCCTAGAGAGCAGCTACCTTAGCCTAAGTGCTTAGTAGTATTACATTACTAGCTAATAGTAAGTTACTCTCTATAGAGTTTAAAAAGTATTTATTTATTATAGTAAAATAAAGTTTATAGTATATTAAGGACTAGCTTTACAGGCTACTATATATAAGTATTACTAGTATTAACTATAAACTTAAGGAGAGAAAAAAGAGAAAGAAGAAGCTCTCTATCCCCTCTTTTCCTTCTATTATATATATATAGGTTTAATATATATCTAAAGCATACCTAATAAGGCACTAACACAGTGCCTTGTACCTACTCGAGCCTACAGCTTAAGTCTATTACACCTTAGGCCTTTTATATCCGGTAAATTAAGCTGAATAGCCTCTGTAAGGGCTTTTTAGTAATTTGTAATCTAGGTCCTTAATTTAGACCTATTAGGGGCTCTTAATAGGGCTTTATAGGTTTCTAGGACCTCTTTTTCGTAATCCCAAGATATAGGCTTAATTCAATCTTTTAATAGCTTTAATTATATAGCTATATTAAATTCTATTAAAATAGTGTTATAATAGTAACTAACTGTGCTTATTATATAGCTCTATATTATACATAGCTTTTTAATAGGCTAGATATAGCTAGAGCTAAATTTAATAGCTAGCTCTAGCAATATCTAGCTTTTTAAGTTCTATATCAGTAAGGTCAGCAATATGCATAGCTACAGCGTTAATATCTTTATAGCTAGGCTCTTTAGGCTTTATAAGCCTATTATTAGTGTTATGCTTAATATTAAGGTTAATATAGTCCTAAATATCCTGGCTTATAGCGAATTTTTTAATAATAGAAATCTATTTATACCAATTAGTTGGGCCGGTTAAGGTGACCTTTTAGGAAGCCTCTATAGCGTTGGATTCTATTTTAATAGTTATATAGCGATTTTGAGCGTTTTTAGACGTTTTTGCCGGTTTAAATAGCGTTTTTGTTGATATAGTAGATTAACATAGATTTCCGTGCAGAAGTCGCTCCTTTTTATAGTAAATAGCTTGTTATATAAAAGCTTAGTTGAATAGGTGCAAATAGGTGCAAATTCCGTTGAATAATAATAAGGTTTAGAAAAGTGGGTC